GGAGGTTTCCTCAGTCCACGTAGGGTCGGTGTTGGCCATCTCATGGCAACCCCATGGGCACAGGTTGAGTGTGCTGAAGGTCTCCTGAGTTGGTCTCTTCTCATCCATCGCTTCTCTCCCTTGAAATCGGGCATCTCAAAGGTGTCTGGCCACGGGCAGGAATTTTTTTTTTTGGAAAATCTGGGCACTCTTTGCCCAGGCCCGGTTGGGAAGGTGCAGGATGGTCACCTTGTGGTTCTTGAAGCCATGGTGAAGTGTGGTGTGGTCCTTGGAGCCCTTTTCAATGCTGTCTATGAGGTGACTGTTCTCCACACCACTAAACCGCAAACCTGAGCAACACCACCTCTGCCGGTCCTTCCTCCCTCCTTTTCTCTTTCTTTCTCTTTTTTTTCCCCCAAAGGGCTCCAAGAACATGTCCCTTCCGTGGATGTCTCCTCTCCACCGACCTCCCTCCCTCCCTGCCCTCGATTGAAGACAGATGCCAGGAAATATTTCTGCTGTAAGACTGAAGTGAAAACACATGGTGGGGAGTCTACGCCGCGTCTACAACTTGATCACCGTCACCCCTGGCAGCTCGGAGCGAGGTAGGGTGAGCAGGGCACTCTGGGCTGCGGTGCCGTCCCACGGCCTCGCAGCGAAGGCAAAACTTGGGAGCGCGCAGGCCGGGGCGCGCGGCCGGCGCTCGCGTCTGGAAGTCGTGACGGGCTGGCCCGGGGCCAGTTTAAAGTACAAATGGGATCTGGCTGCTCGCTGGGGTCCCCTCCCCAAGACCCCGGGAGGATCGGGGTGGTTGTATAACCTAAAGCATCCCCGGGGATTTGGCAGCCCCCGAGTGACAAGCGAGCCGAGGGGAAGGGGGGAAGCCAACGTGCATGGGCAGTGTGGCATCCCGGGAGTGTGACCCGGGAAAAGCTGGAGCAGAAGGACACGCCAAAAAGCAGCCGCGCTCCTTCCCGCCGCCGGCTTGGCTGTGAAACGCCGCTGTCGGGGGCAAGAAAAAGCTCCTTCCGGCAAGGAAAAGGGGCCGAGCTTCATGTGAGGCTGCTTGCCAAGAGGAGACCCAGGCAGCAACGTTGTCACCTGTCCTGGGGATTTGCTGTCACCCCAAACCTGCCCCCCGTGGGGGCATAAAGACTCCTCTGCGCCTTGATTCGGCAGGCAGCACTCTGTGAGGGGGCCCTGCCCTATGGACCTATGAGTATCCCCTGCAAGCGCCCACATTTTAGGGTTATTTTTCCTGGTTTTATTCCCCTCCTCGCTCTGTCCCCTCCTTTGCTCTGTCTCGGAAAACATCTGTTTCCAGATGTTGTCCTCAAGGCTAATAAACGCACCGAAAGGCCTCAAGTTAATGTATTTACAATAGCCGGGGATGTCGGCTGCTGGTTGAGGGAACGAGCGAGACCCCCACGTTTCCTGCGAGGAGAAACAAAGAGAAAAGAGATAAAAATGAGAGCTGTGGCATGGGGGTGTCTTCTCCTTGCAGCACATGGGGAAGGGGACCCGCTCCCCTTGCACCAGGGCTGGACTTCAGTGCCACACGCCACCAGCTACGGGGTCCCCACCCAGACTAGCGGCTCTCAGGCTTTTTTGGGGGGAGCAGATGAGGCTCGTCACCCCCTCAGCATCTCCCTCCCCACTTCCTCGGCAGGACGCCCGGCCAAGGGATGTGCAGGCGCTTTCTCCATGCAAAATCCGCATTTCAAGCATGCGAATGACCGGGAGAAGAGCTATGGGGGATCTCGTTGTTTTGCAAGGAGCGCTTTGCCAGCTGTTTTTTGGAGCGTGGACCGAGGTAGGGCTGAAGCGCGGCGGGTGGGTTTTGCTGGGGACCCCCTGATCCCGGGG